CCTTATATGAATGTATTTGGTGCTGTCTGTATTCCCCTATAATAGCTTTTGTCTCTGTACATTCATCTTATTATGTGTTTGTCTCTGCAGTTATGTTTTAAATAAAGATAGGACAATGTGGCCTGTATGCCCAGCCAAGGGCAGGTCACATAGTTGACTTTTATTGGCTTCAGTGGGAGTTATTCAGGTCATCCAACAGCTTGACAGCTAAGCAGAGGAATGTAAAGCATAAGTAATATAGCAAAACCAATGTTACAATCCTATATCCTATATAATAAAAGAGAAACATGTAAATTGACCTTCCCTCTGCTACACTCACCAGCCAATCAGGAATGAGTATGCAAATTAACCTGGCAAAGATGGCGGGTTAAATTTCATACCCAGGTGCTGGGCAGAGAGTAGAGCGGGAGAGCCAACAGAGAGTGGAGCGGCTTGGGGAACTTGGCTCCCCAAGCCGCCAGACGGAGAGCAGAGAGGGAGAGCTGGTGGCTTGGAGGACTTGGCAGAGTGGGAGGCTGTGGGACCGAGACAGAGCAGGAAGGGAAAACCAAGAGCGCAGGGAACACCAGGAATTCTGGGAATAGTAGTTCTGGTGGCAGCCCCAGGACTTGAAGTAGAAGCCCAGAGCACAGGGAACACCAGGAATGCTGGAAATCATAGTTCTGGTGGCAGACATATCTCCTAGACACTAGAGCAGTGGTTCTCAACCTTCCTAATGCTGTGACCCTTTAATACAGTTCCTCATGTTGTGGTGACCCCCAATTTCATTGTTACAAATTGAACATAATTAAAGCATAGTGATTAATCACAAAACAATATGTAATTATATATGTGTTTTCCGACGGTCTTAGGCGACCCCTGTGAAAGGGTCGTTCGACCCCCAAAGGGGTTGCGACCCACAGGTTGAGAACCGCTGCACTAAAGCAAAGTGAGCCTTGAGCAAGTTACTGTTCCAGTGGGGGATGGAGGGAAAGGAAAGGTGAGAGACATAAGTAAAATCAGAGTGTCTAGGAAAAATTAAAGGGAAGATATCCTAAAACTTCCAAGAAATCTCCACCAATTAAGCAAAGAAAAAAAGATGCCTCTATTTTCTGTGAGCAACAAACCAAACTGGGTTGGGGTCTCAGA